CATCCATGTTGTGACTCCCCTGGTCTCCCAGTCCCAGCCCATCCTCAAGCTACTGGTGGCTGTCGCCAAGTCCCAGTACTGTGTCCAGGTAGGCTATCTAGCTCACTGCACCACATCTCAACACTGTGGCCAGCTGGGCTATCTAGCTCACTGCACCACATCTCAACACTGTGTCCAGGTAGGCTATCTAGCTCACAGTATCACATCTCAACACTGTGTCCAGTGTAGGCTATCTAGCTCACAGTAATCACATCTCAACACTGTGGCCACTAGGCTATCTAGCTCACAGTAATCACATCTCAACACTGTGTCCAGGTAGGCTATCTAGCTCACAGTATCACATCTCAACACTGTGGCCAGCTAGGCTATCTAGCTCACAGTATCACATCTCAACACTGTGTCCAGGTAGGCTATCTAGCTCACAGTATCACATCTCACACTGTGGCCACTATGCTATCTAGCTCAAGTATCACCTCTCAACACTGGTGGCCAGCTAGGCTATCTAGCTCACAGTATCACATCTCAACACTGTGGCCAGCTAGGCTATCTAGCTCACAGTATCACATCTCAACACTGTGGCCAGCTAGGCTATCTAGCTCACAGTATCACATCTCAACACTGTGGCCAGCTAGGCTATCTAGCTCACAGTATCACATCTCAACACTGTGGCCAGCTAGGCTATCTAGCTCACAGTATCACATCTCAACACTGTGGCCAGCTAGGCTATCTAGCTCACAGTATCACATCTCAACACTGTGGCCACTAGGCTATCTAGCTCACCGTATCACATCTCAACACTGGGGCAGCTAGGGCAATCTAGCTCACAGCACAACATCTCAACACTGTGGCCCAGGTAGGCTATCTAGCTCACAGCACCACATCTCAACACTGTGGGCCAGCTAGGCTATCTAGCTCCAGTATCACATCTCAACACTGTGGTCCAGGCTAGGCTATCTAGCTCACAGCATCACATCTCAACACTGTGGCCAGCTAGGCTATCTAGCTCACAGTATCACATCTCAACACTGTGGCCAGCTAGGCTATCTAGCTCACAGTACACATCTCAACACTGTGGCCAGCTAGGCTATCTAGCTCACAGTATCACATCTCAACAACTGTGGCCAGCTAGGCTATCTAGCTCACAGCATCACATCTCAACACTGGTGGCCAGCTAGGCTATCTAGCTCACAGCATCACATCTCAACACTGTGGCCAGCTGGGCTATCTAGCTCACAGCACCACATCTCAACACTGTGGCCAGCTAGGCTATCTAGCTCACAGCATCACATCTCAACACTGTGGCCAGCTAGGCTATCTAGCTCACAGCATCACATCTCAACACTGTGGCCAGCTAGGCTATCTAGCTCACAGCACCACATCTCAACACTGTGGCCAGCTGGGCTATTTTTTTTTTTTTTTTTTTTTTTTTTTAGTCAGCCATTAATGTGGCCAGCTGGGTCTATTCTAGCTCACAGCACCACATCTCAACACTGTGGCCAGCTAGGCTATCTAGCTCACAGCATCACATCTCAACACTGTGGCCAGCTAGGCTATCTAGCTCACAGCACCACATCTCAACACTGTGGCCAGCTAGGCTATCTAGCTCACAGCATCACATCTCAAACACTGTGGCCAGCTAGGCTATCTAGCTCACAGCACCACATCTCAAACACTGTGGCCAGCTAGGCTATCTAGCTCACAGCATCCACATCTCAACACTGTGGCCAGCTAGGCTATCTAGCTCACAGCACCACACCTCTCAACACTGTGGCCAGCTAGGCTATCTAGCTCACAGCATCACATCTCAACACTGTGGCCAGCTAGGCTATCTAGCTCACAGCACCACATCTCAACACTGTGGCCAGCTAGGCTATCTAGCTCACAGCACCACATCTCAACACTGTGGCCAGCTAGGCTATCTAGCTCACAGCACCACATCTCAACACTGTGGCCAGCTAGGCTATCTAGCTCACAGCACCACATCTCAACACTGTGGCCAGCTAGGCTATCTAGCTCACAGCATCACATCTCAACACTGTGGCCCGCTAGGCTATCTAGCTCACAGCATCACATCTCAACACTGTGGCCAGCTGGGCTATCTAGCTCACAGCACCACATCTCAACACTGTGGCCAGCTAGGCTATCTAGCTCACTGCACCACATCTCAACACTGTGGCCAGCTAGGCTATCTAGCTCACAGCACCACATCTCATCACTGTGGCCAGCTAGGCTATCTAGCTCACAGTATCACAATGCCAGTACTGTGTGCGCGCCCAGGTCACTCCTAGCACCACATGCCCATATGTGGTTAGCATGAGTCATAGAATCAACCCAGAAATATAACTCCTTCTGCAACAAGACCTTGTAGAATGTAGATGTTTGTCTCCTGGTGGCGGTCGCTAAGTCTCAGTACTTTGCCTAGGTAACAGCTAGCACCGTGCTGTATGAGGTTGGCATGAGTCATAGAATTAACCCAGAAATGTAACTCCTTCTGCAACAAGAACCTTGATATTTTGAGTTAGATGTATATTTATATCTCTATGTTGCACATGTCATGTTGTCACAATATAGATTTCTTTATCAATGTTACATGAATGTGTGCTTTTATATCAGGTAATCATAATTCATATAGTAGCTTTTGGTTGTGATATAAGCTATCCAAAAGGAAAACATAATTTCATGTTTAAATGTACGTCATATTTTTCCAGGTGATAATCCTATGGAACTGTGACAAGCCCCTCCCGGCCAAACACCGCTGGCCTGCCACCTCTGTACCTGTCCTGGTCATAGAGGGGGAGAGCAAGGTGAGTCCTCTGTACCTGTCCTGGTCATAGAGGGGGAGAGCAAGGTGAGTCCTCTGTACCTGTCCTGGTCATAGAGGGGGAGAGCCAGGTGAGTCCTCTGTACCTGTCCTGGTCATAGAGGGGGAGAGCCAGGTGAGTCCTCTGTACCTGTCCTGGTCATAGAGGGGGGAGAGCCAGGTGAGTCCTCTGTACCTGTCCTGGTCATAGAGGGGGAGAGCCAGGTGAGTCCTCTGTACCTGTCCTGGTCATAGAGGGGGAGAGCCAGGTGAGTCCTCTGTACCTGTCCTGGTCATAGAGGGGGAGAGCCAGGTGAGTCCTCTGTACCTGTCCTGGTCATAGAGGGGGAGAGCCAGGTGAGTCCTCTGTACCTGTCCTGGACATAGAGGGGGAGAGCCAGGTGAGTCCTCTGTACCTGTCCTGGTCATAGAGGGGGAGAACAAGGTGAGTCCTCTGTACCTGTCCTGGTCATAGAGGGGGAGAGCCAGGTGAGTTCTCTTCTCCTATAGCTTCACATACATCAATATGCTTATGAATACAGAGAAAAGTCTAAATATAGCCCTAGTAAGCACATTCTAATGATATCTAGTCATTTGTATTGATTGTTCTAATGATATCTAGTCATTTGTATTGATTGTTCTAAGATATCTAGTCATTTGTATTGATTGTTCTAAGATATCTAGTCATTTGTATTGATTGTTCTAATGATATCTAGTCATTTGTATTGATTGTTCTAATGATATCTAGTCATTTGTATTGATTGTTCTAAGATATCTAGTCATTTGTATTGATTGTTCTAATGATATCTAGTCATTTGTATTGATTGTTCTAATGATATCTAGTCATTTGTATTGATTGTTCTAAGATCTCTAGTCATTTGTATTGATTGTTCTATGATATTTTGTCATTTGTATTGATTGTTCTAATGATATCTAGTCATTTGTATTGATTGTTCTAATGATATCTAGTCATTTGTATTGATTGTTCTAAGATCTCTAGTCATTTGTATTGATTGTTCTAATGATCTCTAGTCATTTAATTGATTGTTCTAGATTGCATTATATGTTCTAAGATATCTAGTCATTTTAATTGATTGTTCTAAGATATCTAGTCATTTGTATTGATTGTTCTAAGATATCTAGTCATTTGTATTGATTGTTCTAAGATATCTAGTCATTTGTATTGATTGTTCTAAGATATCTAGTCATTTGTATTGATTGTTCTAAGATATCTAGTCATTTGTATTGATTGTTCTAAGATATCTGGGATTTGTTTGATTGTTCTAAGATACTGTTTGTTGAGTTTTAGGTTTTAGCAGTTGTTTTCTAAAAATATTCAAAGTAAAATTTTTATTGAGGTGAGTAAGGCCCATAGTTGTTCCTGAAAATTTTAAGGGGACAAAGGGTTTCTTTTTTCTGCCCTTTTCTATGACCCATCAACAGAGCGTCTTAATCTGACGAGGCCCCGTCCTCTAAACTAAAGGGGAGGTTTATACTGGAGTGTTCCCGTATTAAAACTAAAGGGCCCAGTTCTGTTCACCATTTCTATAAATGACATGGGCAAAGCTATGAAAAAAATGGTCAACTTCATCTGTATGCTGATGCACTGTCACAACAGGTGAGCTGAAGCTGAATGGGAGGATTGCGTGTTATACTGGAGCTGCCTTACGAGCTTTAGGTGCTCAATGGTGCCACTCTCTCCCTTTTGCAGGTGGACTTTGCTTTCACAGTGTGGCAGAGTTTCCCAGAGAGGATTGTGGGATACCCGGCCAGGAGTCATTTCTGGGACAGCAACAAGGAGAGGTGGGGTTACACCTCCAAGTGGACCAACGACTACTCTATGGTCCTGACAGGAGCTGCTATATACCACAGGTGAGACGGCGGGCACGACGCTACAGACCAAACCTTCTCCTGGAGACCTACTAGATGTCCGGGCTTTTGCTCCAGCCCTTAGCCAGTGATTAATAGAATCAGTTGTGTTAGATTAGGGCTGAAACAAAACCGGGCAGGAGGGTAGTTAGCTCTCCAGGAGTAGGGTCGGCTACCGTTGAGCCGCAACTTTGACTGTTTCATATCAAAACAGCTATAGGGGAACTGACTGAAGTCTAACTCCAACTAATGTTACCTGTCCTCCAGATATTACCACTACCTGAACACCAGCTACCTGCCGGCCAGTCTGTCTAATCCTAACTCCAACTGATGTTACCTGTCTTTACCTGTAGATGTTACCACTACCTGTAGATGTTACCACTACCTGGAGATATTACCACTACCTGGAGATTACATTTACATTTTAGTCATTTAGCAGACGCTCTTATCCAGAGCGACTTACAGTTAGTGAGTGCATACATTATATATTTTTATTTTTTTCATACTGGCCCCCCCCCCCCCCCCCCCCCCCGTGGGAATCGAACCCACAACCCTGGCGTTGCAAACGCCATGCTCTACCAACATCCCCTGCCGGCCATTCCCTCCCCTACCCTGGACGACGCTGGGCCAATTGTGCGCCGCCCCATGGGTCTCCCGGTCGCGGCCGGCTACGACAGAGCCTGGATTCGAACCAGGATCTCTAGTGGCACAGCTAGCACTGCGATGCAGTGCCTAGGGGGAGGCATATTACCACTACCTGGAGATATTACCACTACCTGTAGATATTACCACTACCTGTAGATATTACCACTACCTGGAGATATTACCACTACCTGTAGATATTACCACTACCTGGAGATATTACCACTACCTGTAGATATTACCACTACCTGGAGAAATTATTACCACTACCTGGAGATATTACCACTACCTGTATAAATTACCCCCTACTGGAAGTATTCACACCTTTTAAGGACTATTACCCTACCGGTCAAAAAACCCACGTACCTGTAGATATTACCACTACCTGTAAATTATCCCACTCCTGGGGACATTCAAATTTGTGAAACATACCTGTAGAATTATTAACCAACTACCCGTAAGAATACATAGGAAAGAAACATACGGAGAATGATTTCCATACTTCTAGCTTTACCAAAACTACGGGAGATATTACATACCGGTAATATACATCCGTGGGAAACACTAACCTTAGATATACCAAAAAATGTACTAAAAGGAATAATTACCCACATGTGAAGTTACCTACGGAAAATTTACTACCGGGTGTTTCCCATACTGGGGGGAAATTATAATTTTCCTGATTATTTCCACATTAACCAGTATGCCGGAAGTCCAAGGGGCTGTTTTGCTACCTTCTAATGTCTGATAACCCAACGCCAACCCAACCCCATTGTTAGGGTTTTACTTGTTGAAAAATATTCCCAATATGTAAAAAATAACCCAAAATTAACCTACCACTTTAAGGGAATAGAACATCCTAATGCTGTCCTTTGCAGACCTCCAAAGCGGCCTCCCTCGGGGCCCGAAGAAACGCCAGGGAGACTGATGGTGGGGTGAGGGTTTCATTTTTTTCCCAGGGAACCAAATTGGAGGAATCTTTTAAACAGTGTAAATGAGAATTCACAGATAGAAACACACGTCAACAAAAACTTTTCCCCCAGGGGGAGGTAGTAAACAAAGACTTGAAAGGATCCTTCCTCCTTTGGGAAGTTGAGCCTAGGAACAATCTCTTTTGGGAGTTGGCGGTGACCTTCTGCAGGGGAAAGGTGATAAAGGATTCTCCTGATCATTGTCCCATGCAGTAAATGCACAGAGAGAGCATGACAGTTTCATGTTGATTCTTTCTCCATTGAATGTCCTGATGACAGGAGACACAGCTACCCCCTGTATCCATGGTAGTTGGGAAAAATAGAAAGAAACAATAAACTAATCCCACTGTTCATGGTGGAGTTAGAAAGATCATACTAACAGCCTGATCCCCTCTGTCTCCATGGGTGATGGACAGAGACATGCAGAGTGCAGGAAGAGAGAGACTAGAACAGCCTATCCCCTCTGTCTCCATGGTGGATGTAGAGAGACAGAGATCTAGAACAATCCTGATCCCCTCTGTCTCCATGGGGAGGTGTAGAGAGACAGGAGAGACTAGAACAGCCTGATCCCCTCTGTCTCCATGGTGGAGTGTAGAGAGACAGAGAGAGACTAGAACAGCCTGATCCCCTCTGTCTCCATGGTGGAGTGTAGAGAGACAGAGAGACTAGAACAGCCTGATCCCCTCTGTCTCCATGGTGGAGTGTAGAGAGACAGAGAGACTAGAACAGCCTGATCCCCTCTGTCTCCATGGTGGAGTGTAGAGAGACAGAGAGACTAGAACAGCCTGATCCCTCTGTCTCCATGGTGGAGTGTAGAGAGACAGAGAGACAGAGAGAGACTAGAACAGCCTGATCCCCTCTGTCTCCATGGTGGAGTGTAGAGAGACAGAGAGACTAGAACAGCCTGATCCCCTCTGTCTCCATGGTGGAGTGGAGAGAGACAGAGAGACTAGAACAGCCTGATCCCCTCTGTCTCCATGGTGGAGTGTAGAGAGACAGAGAGAGACTAGAACAGCCTGATCCCCTCTGTCTCCATGGTGGAGTGGAGAGAGACAGAGAGAGACTAGAACAGCCTGATCCCCTCTGTCTCCATGGTGGAGTGTAGAGAGACAGAGAGACTAGAACAGCCTGATCCCCTCTGTCTCCATGGTGGAGTGTAGAGAGACAGAGAGACTAGAACAGCACTGATCCCTCTGTCTCCATGGTGGAGTGTAGAGAGACAGAGAGAGACTAGAACAGCCTGATCCCCTCTGTCTCCATGGTGGAGTGTAGAGAGACAGAGAGACTAGAACAGCCTGATCCCCTCTGTCTCCATGGTGGAGTGTAGAGAGAGAGAGACTAGAACAGCCTGATCCCCTCTGTCTCCATGGTGGAGTGTAGAGAGACAGAGAGACTAGAACAGCCTGATCCCCTCTGTCTCCATGGTGGAGTGGAGAGAGACAGAGAGACTAGAACAGCCTGATCCCCTCTGTCTCCATGGTGGAGTGTAGAGAGACAGAGAGACTAGAACAGCCTGATCCCCTCTGTCTCCATGGTGGAGTGGAGAGAGACAGAGAGACTAGAACAGCCTGATCCCCTCTGTCTCCATGGTGGAGTGGAGAGAGACAGAGAGACTATAACAACCTGATCCCCTCTGTCTCCATGGTGGAGTGTAGAGAGACAGAGAGACTAGAACAGCCTGATCCCCTCTGTCTCCATGGTGGAGTATAGAGAGACAGAGAGACAGAGAGACTAGAACAGCCTGATCCCCTGCTGCCTCCTGGAAGGACAGGAGTGTAGAGAGATGGAAGACACACAGGGAGGACCGGGCGCTGTGGAGCCAGGACGCCACGATTGCGTCTCCAACTCTAACCCTCCATCCTTGTCCGCTGTTGCTGGTGCTAACAGTGGTAACCGTGACAACCCAGGCTGTATTTGGTAGGAGCTGTACACAGACAGAAAACTAGTTTATGCACAACTGACAACATGGACGTCTGGGGAACTTTGTTCTAGAACTTTCTACATGTTCTAATGACTATGGACAAAGGAGGTCCATGGCTGACGACGTCTCCTCAGAGTCAATACAGCGCCATTCTAGTCAAGGGAATACATGCTGCAGTCCTAACTACGGTCTACTTGGTAGACTGTCTCTACGGACTGTGTTCAGTCTACTAGTGGTAAACCTCTCCCACCCATCTCCAACCTGCTAAACTCTACAATGAAACCGAGGGAGGAGTGCTTCTTTAGTTATAGACGCTAACCCCTATTCTGTTCGGTTCTAAACACTATGCACAGGTTCAAGAGATAATTGCTGCCAGAATCTGAAAGTACTATTTAGCTCTGTTTCAGTTAGCTTGTATAGTGAACAATGAATGGCCAGCAGCACTAGTATCTCTACTGTGTTCAGCCTTGGCTGGGGTCTGTGTTTTCCTGCTATAAGAAGCTAGGGATACAGAACTCAATCACAGAACTGAGATTTCACCGTGCCTCCAGTTATGACTAATGTAGTTGTGGTTGTTGTGATCTGGGAGTCTGAGTGGACTGGGTGTGAATGGAAACTCACCTTGATCACGCTGCTTCTCTTTGATGATTTTGAGCTTTTTAAATTGATTTGCCATTTTCTTTTAGGGGGCTATATTTTTTGATGTTGTAAAGAAGTTCTGACTGAAGTACAATGAACCTTGCCCTTTGGCCTCATCATCCTTATCCCTTATAGCATATTGATCCATCTGCGTTGACAGTTGACATAGCATATTGATCCGTCTGCATTGAAAGGTTGACAGTTGACATAGCATATTGATCCATCTGCATTGAAAGGTTGACATAGAATATTGATCCATCTGCATTGAAAGGTTGACAGTTGACATAGCATATTGATCCATCTGCATTGAAAGGTTGACAGTTGACATAGCATATTGATCCATCTGCATTGAAAGGTTGACAGTTGACATGGCATATTGATCCATCTGCACTGAAAGGTTGACAGTTGACGTAGCATATTGATCCATCTGCACTGAAAGGTTGACAGTTGACTTTCCCCTATTTAATGCAGTGTTATATTAGAGATGAGTTGAGACATCATGGTGCGGTCACACCATAGTGAAACATCAAGGAATATAAATGATTATATTTAAGGGGTGAGTATACCAACTGGGAACAAGTTCTTCTATGCCATTTATTCCCTGTTCCACGTTCTTCCCCTCACAAGACCTGGTGAACCACTATATTAATAATATAGCCATCTAGCACACACTTTTATCCAAGGACATACATTTTACTTGTGGGTGGTCCCAGGAATCGAACACACTATCAAGACTAACACCCATATCACCTGTTTTGACCAATAAAGGCACTCTACTTTGTCCATCTTCAGCTCATTAACATTAACATGATCAGATTGATTGATTGAGTTGACACATTCATAACCTTTAGAGTTAAAGGGATACTTCGGGATTTTGGCAATGAGGCCCTTTAACTACTTCCCCAGAGTCAGATGAACTCGTGGATACCATTTTTATGTCTCTGTGTCCAGTATGAAGGAAGTTAAGAGGTAGTTCCACGAGCCAATGCTAACTAGCGTTAGCGCAATGACTGAAAGTCTATGGGTATCTGCTAGCATGCTAGCAGGGACATGACTAGTCTTTATTTGAGCAGGTACTTGCATGTCTGATCTGAGGGAGAGCTGTATAGTATATCTACACTACCATTCAAAAGTTTGGGGTCACTTAGAAATGTCCTT